TTTTGCCATCCAGTCACTGTGACTCCCAGCAGTATATATATATATCACAGCTTTTTTTATCCACTCATCTATTGATGGGCACTTGAATTGCTTCCAGATATTAGCTGTTGTAAATACACTGCAATGAACATACGGATGCATATATTATTTCAAATTAGTGTTTTGGGTTTCTTCTAATATACACCCGGAAATGGAATCACTGAAGGCACAGAACATACAATGGGGTAAAGACAGTCTAGTTAATAAATGGTGTTGAGAAAATTGGACAGATAAATGTGAAAAAATGACACCAGACCACTTTCTTACACCATATACAAGAATAAACTCAAAATGGATTAAAGATTTCATTGTAAGGCTCAAAACCATAAAACTTATAGAAGAAAGCATAGACAGTAAAACCTCTGACATCTCTCTTAGCAATATATTTTTTCTGATATATCTCCTTGGGCAAGGGAAACAAAAGAAAAAAATAAACAAATGTAACTACATCAATCTAAAAAGATTTTACACATCAAAGGAAACCATCAACAAAATGAAAAGACAACCTACTGAATGGAAGAAGTATTAGCCAATAATACTTCCTATAAGAGGTTCATATCCAAAATTTATAAAGAACTCATACAATTCAACACAATAAAAAAGCGAACAATGCAATTTTAAAAATGGGCAGTCTTGGCCCATGTGGCTCAGTTAATTAAGTGAAAGGTTGCTGGTTCAATGGTCAGGGCGCATGGCTAGATTTCAGCTCAATCCCCAGTAGGGGGCATGCAGGAGGCAGCTGATCAATGTTAGGCTTTCACATCCATGTTTCTCTTTCCCTCTTCCTTCCTGTCTCTCTAAACACCAATAAAAATTCTAAAACAAACAAACAAACAAAAAAAACACCTTAAGATTCTTCACCATCAAATCAAAGTTTTTAAAAAATGGGCAAAGGACCTGAATAGACACTTCTCCAAAGGGGACACACAGATGGCTAATAGACATAGGAAGAGATGCTCAACATCACTAATCATCGAAGAAGTGCAAATTAAAACCACAATAAGGTATCACCTCACACCTGTCAGAATGGCTATCATCAATAAATCAACATACAACAAGTGTTGGTAAGGATGTGGAGAAAAGGGAACCTTTGTGCACTGTTGGTGGGAATGCAGACTGGTGCAGCCACTGTGGAAATCAGTATGGAGGTTATGGAGTAATGGTTAATTGAAGAGCTGGCGTTCTGAAGCCAAACTGATCTGGAATTGAGTTTCTGCTGTTTGCTAGCTGCACAACACTGGCCCAGTTCCTTAACCTCCCTAGGACTCTGTGTCTTCGTCTACTTAAACAAATAGTAATAGCTGGCATTGACTGAGCCCAGACTACTTACATGCTAAGTTTTACATGCTTTACCTACATTATCTTATTTAATCCTAACCATGGCCCTGTGAAGTAGGTGCTGTTATTATCATTTAATAGCTAAGAAAATTGAAGCACAAAGAGGTGAAACAGTCTGCCAGAGATTATATCACTGTAAATGATGGAGCTAGGATTCAAACACAAGCAGTCTGTTTCCCAGACCCATGCTTTGAACCACTTCCTTCTTCATATTGAGGTTGTAAGGATTAAATGAGCTAATATAAGTCAGGGCACCTGCATAATGCCTGGCACATAAACAAGCCTTAAGTAAATGTTAACTATAGTATACTTTTTAGCATTGTCATTTGTTCCAAAAGATATCCGGACCAGAAAACAGGTTTTGACATAGGATAGTTTGTATTCATTGCAGTTAATTGCCCCGAGGTATGTGTCTTGCAATTTAACTGACAAGCCCCTGTTATTACCTAAATAATCTCTGTATTATGAGTTACCTGGTTAAGAGATGGGCTAAGTGGCTGGCAACTTTTTTCATTTTCCCATGGGAAAAATCCTTCATACTAGAAAGGAATATGAAGTCACTGGTGAAAACAATGGTGTCCTGAGCAATAGCTAGCATAACTGCAGGCAGTCCCGATGAACAGTTATATTTCAAAATAGTACATTTATCTATTGTTATAACCTCTGAATACATAGAAATAAGATTGAAAATAGTGGTTACATTCCAAAACTATTCACAGAAGTCTATTTATTTAGCCCATTTTAAAGTTCAATGATAAAAAAAAAAAATCATTCCCCTAACCCAAAGGTAGGCCTAGGGACAAGAGTCCATGTGATTAAAGAATAAGAAAAGTATCTTTTCTGGTACAAAGGAAAGCTGACATAGAGTCTATTAGTTATCTACTTCTCTGTAACAAGTCACCCCAAAGCTCACCATATTAAAACAATGCATATCTGTTATCTCACAGACTCTGTGGGTCATCGTGGAGTGGCTTACCTGGGTAGTTCTGCTCAGAATCTGCTCAGGATGAGGTTTCAGTCAACATCATCCAGACTGCAGTCACCTGAAGGCTGAACTAGGGAGATCTGCTCCCAACATTGCTCACTCACATGGCTGTTGGCAGGAAGCCCGAGTCTTCATGACATGGTACCTCTAGCTTCCCCCAGTATAAGTGATCTTAGAGTGAGAACAAGAAGGCAGTTGCAATGCCTTTTGTGACCTAGTCTTATAAGTCACACACTGTCACTCCTGCCAGAGCCTGCTCATTATGACGCATAAGCTATTCATTGAGAGCAATCCACACTCAATGGGAGGGGGAAGTAAGCTTCACCTCTTGAGGGGGAGCATATCACAGAATTTTTGAACCTATCCTAAAATCATCATGGAGTTTTGGGCTGCCCTCCCATCTCTCTCTTTAGGTACCCAGTTATGCAAAATATTTAAAATAAACTGGAATTCAGAAACTTCCCAACAAAGTTTACTGTAAATACTAAAAAATAAAAAAAATGTTCTCACTTCAACTTTTCTAGAAAACATCTCTCCCCTTTCTTCATAAGGAATCTCATTTGAAGAATTTATACTGAAGAGAGCGCTATCCCACTTCTGGAATATTTGCTTCTTCATTTGTATCATTAGAATTTCAGGCCATGCAATAAACAAATTAAAAATAACCAATAACCTACTCCCAAATGGGTGGATTAAGAGACTTGGAGTTAGGAAAGCAACCTTCAGTAAGCTCTCTGCCTGCTGCTGAAAATAACCTAAGTGCCACAAGTACTGAATATTCTGGGCCTCGGGAACCATGGGATCCCTGACCCAGGTTTCCTAACCTACTCCCATTGCTACAGCTCTAGAAGAAGACTGTGGGCCTGCAAAAGTGAGGGACTATTCTGGAATCCAAAAGTGGCTGGTACTCTTGCACCTGAGATGCAAAATTCTAAAGTGTCATCTGAATCTTCAGAGGAAAATGATATTTCATATGACTTTTTGTTGTATTTTTTGTAACTTTAAATTTGGTGATCCATGTAGACTATTGTTAAAATACAACATTTATAGCCTTGCCGGTTCCACTCAGTGGATATAGCGTTGGCCTATAGACTGAAGGATCCTGGGTTCGATTCCCGTCAAGGGCACATGATGTGTCTCCCTTATATCGATGTTTCTCTCTCCCCCTTCCTTCCACTCTCTCTAAAAATCCATGGGGTGGGGGGGGAGAATAATAAACAAACAAAAATACAACATTTATAAACACTGGATAAATAGGAGTTTGTACTATAATTCAACTCCAGGTAGAAGGGGCTTGATCTAAAAGATTTCTCCTGACAGTGCGTTTTTTTTTTATTGCTGTATTAAATCTTATTTGAGATTTAACCCCATTTGAGAATATGATGAAGCCTAAGAGACTTACTCAAGAAAATACATATGCCCACAAAATTTTGCTCATATGTTTAAGACCTCCCAAATTCCTAAAATCCATCCAGGGAATCACCGTGGTGGTGGTGGTGGAGGGAACGGAGGGATTCCCGTTCCACTAAAATTTAGATCTAAATTTGAAGCTTCTTCTCAGAACTTAATGAATTTTAACTTCTTGTTAAACAAAACCAAGGACCAGAACAGATATTTCTACTAGGTTTTCTGTGCTTGGGTTTAGTCCATATTGTGACTACTTGGAGGCAAAAGGAAGGTGGAGTGAGCACAGAGAACCCCGCATATTTGATTTAAAAAAAATAGTAACTATATATTAGACACAGAGCAGCTGACGATCATATATATAAACCTCGCCCTCTCCGAGTTGACCTGACTGTGCAGCAAATGTTGTCAACTTGCCAGAGAGGCAGCAACTCCGGAGAGAAAAGCTGCTTGACTTAGAAAAAGAGCTAGACTGGTTTCCTGCCGAGCACCCCCAGCCAAGACCCCCGACCCTGGGTTTTTCCGCGGCTCTCCTTCCGCGGAGCGAATTCCCAGCCCCAGCGGGGCCGTTCGGCCCGACCCACAGAGCCGCGGACCCGGGCTCCGCCGTCTGTCTCACGACGA